TTGAGATATGATACTATATATTATCTTGAATTTAGCTATTTTTATTTATTTTCCTGGTTTTAAAGACTCCATTACAGTTATGTGATATAAACGTCGGAGCTTACCAGACTGTTCTTAGTCATCATATTCACATTACTCATGATTCTCATTATCAAAATCTCACTGTGGAAATAATTTGCAGAGGCAATAATGGTCAACTGTTCAAAAAAGTTGCAATATCTATAATGAGGTATTTAGTCAAATATAATGCACTATTTGATTGTCTCAATGTCATAAAGTCATAGGTCTCATATGACTCACAAACGACTCAAACAACACTAGGCCTGGTTTGTGTTTCTTTTCATAAAATATAGTATGCATTTTGAAGTTTGAGAAACCGGCTCGAGATACACTTTTTGTTATATTCCATGGAATGCTCTTAACATCCCGATAGCAATGAATATCTTAAGTGCTTTGACAAAAAATCCATACAAACATGTGGAAGCCGTAGTACTGTAAAAAGCACGACCAATAATTTTAGCCGGCCCGGCTAAAATAACTGGATGGCCTACCTGCCTGTCAGCCTTCCATCTCGTGCACAAACTGATCTCGTGCCCTCATTGGTCATGTGCGCGTTCGTGTGTGTTGGAGGAGGGGCTCTGTAAGGAAGTCTGAAGGAAGTGGCAGATTTTTTCCGGCTGTGTATTTTCAAATTCTAGCGCACTCGAGCTGGTTTCTCCATTCTTACCTACCCTTTTTTTAATTTTTTAATTTAGCCTTTATTTATACAGGTTTAAAATCTCATTGAGACACACGGTCTCATTTCCAAGAGAGACCTGTCAGTGGTAACACTACCACACAAAGTTACAGACAGACAGGACACTAAACACAGAGGCAACAATAAAATACAACATCGTAAAAAAAGTAGTCATTGAAATCCATACAGTAGTCAGGTAAAGCAGGTGCAAACACCCACAGATGATTTCTCCAGCTTTTTTAAAATTAGTTTAAAATCCGTGATGGGTATCAAACTGGTCAGCTTAAGTTCCTGCTGAAGTGTGTTCCAGGTCGAGGGGGCAGAGTATGATATGGCTTTTTTTCCAAGCACCGTGCGAACTGAGGGGACGGACAGAGTGATGTAATGTTGAGATCGTAGGCTATAGGTGTACTGTTTGTGTGATATGTAAGTGGATATGTAGAGGGGCAGCAGTCCAAGCATAGCGGTATAGATGAATTTGTACCAGTGCAGTGATCTGCGTATTGATAATGATGTCCAGTTGACTAAAGAGTACAGCGTGCAATGGTGTGTGAGGGGTTTACAGTTTGTTATGAACCTCAGAGCCCCATGGTAGACAGCGTCCAGCAGATGAAGTGAGTGAGCTGAGGCGTTCATGTACACAACATCCCCGTAGTCCAAGAGCGGCAAAAATGTGGCAGCTACAAGCCGTTTCCTCGCACTTGTGGAGAAGCGAGGAAACCCTACCTTTAATGACTACCTTTTTTGTATATTATTGCAATGTGTTATTTGTACACTGAGGAGTTATTGTATACATGTGGACATTGTGCTACAACATTATGTACATTGTGATTTCTAAAAAGAAAACTCTTATAATCCTGCATGCTTGTTTTCTTATCAAGTACAGTAAAAGTACAGTTTATGCAATTATGGGCAATACATAAATAAGGTCTACAGGGTCACTCATATGAGCAGTACAGTTTCTAAGCAAACGAACAGGTTAGTCAGATTTATAAGCAATAATTAACACAACTGATACAATTATATGCCAAAAATATCTGTTCTCAACTTTGACCCATCGCACTAGACATTATGGCTGTGGGCACTTTTCTGGCTAAACAGCTTGTTTTCTATGAGCATGACTGTTTTTGTCTGTTGCCATGTTGACTTTTTTTAAAACAAATTTTAGTTTGTATATCTCAGTAACTAGTACCTTACCTTACCCAGTACAATGTTATTCCATCCAACTGAACCAAACCTAAAACCAGAACATCCTAGAGGTGCAGACCTACGCAAAACCATTTCAATTACAATTAAACAACATGTTATGGATTCTTTCTTGGCCCATGTTACCAAATTCGTTGAAAATTGTGCCAGGAAATGTACCGTTATCCTGCGGACAAACAGAAAAACAAATCAAAAACATAACCCGTGGTCATTTCTCTTGTTTCTCTCTCCTTCAGAGTTCCTCTCCAGATGGTCTAGTCTCCATCCTGAAGAGGAGGAGAGCATCACTGGATGGGTTACCTCCCGAAACCGAAATAGCTACTAAACAGAACTCCAAACGCAAGGTCCGCTTCAGTGAGCCAGAGGACGGCATTGAGCAAGGTACAGACTCTCCTGTAATGAAAACATTTATATTAGAAAAGTTTCAGGTTCAACATTCTTACATTTCTTTCTTGCAGATGAGGTAGGCGGAGATTCCTGCCTGATCCTTCTGCTGCTGTGTCTGGTCACCGTGGTGATCAGCATAGGCGGGACCGCCCTCTACTGCACGCTGGTGGACACTTACTCCAACATTTGCACCGACTTCACTCACAACGTGGACTTCTACATCATGAACATGCGGAGGTTCTTCGAAGGGCTCGGACGCTGGCTGCCCCTCCGGATTTAGACCCTTTGTAAACAACTGCTGTTTCAGACATGTGCACTGTAAAAGACAGTGTGAAAAAGAAAGCAAGAGTTCCTGAAAGCAACTGTAACCCTCAATGTGGGATCTACAAACATTGATCTGACGCTGCCATCCAAAGTGTTTAAAGTTTAAACTCCTACAGTGACTGGAGCTTGGGTCTCTTGGCTCACAAGACTTATGAATTTGGGCTATCAGCCTAAGATTTATGTATAACGAATGGGTGCTCAAAGCAACTAAACAGTAAAACTGGTGTGCATGTTGTCGGAGAGTTAAAAAACTCCTACTTACTGCTGTTTCTGTGGACATTTTATCCTAAACTGAAACATACACAGGGGATCACAACACTTCGCAACAATGTTTATATTTTAACAGAAGAAGTTGTTTATGTGTGTTCAAATGTTTCCCTTACATTTTGTAGCTGATGTAGCTTTGTCTTTTGTTCCAGAGGATTTCTTGTTCTGGTTGTTATGTTTTGACCTACACAGAGAAAGCTATGTTTGGAATAATTAGGATTAGTGTGTTGTTTTTTGAAAGATTAATGGGCAAAAAGATGATTTTTAAACTCATGTTACTATTATATTTTCCTCTGTTGACTCATCCCTGTAATTGAACATATTGTAGGGCTGTACACCTTATCAGACGACAAAGATTTATATTATTTTGCAAAACCCTGATTTGACGTGGCCCTTTATGAAAAGGATAATTTCATAACAGCGAGTCAATTCTACTATCTTATAACAAAATACATTTCAGTGAAGTTATCATGATAATCATTATGTGATACAGTCATTTAACTCTACAAATTCAAGCACGCGCCCTGTGTTTATACTTTTGGTGCCCAATGTTTCACGCTTTAGTGTATATCCCTAATCCTGGTCTAAATGTGGATTCATGATTATATCTAGTCTCCTCCTGCAGTCAGCAAAAAGGCTGCATCATTATCTTAAAAACCCAATGCGGACAGAAGATACATTTGGATTGTGTATGAGACACCACAGTCAAAAACAAGTAAACATTAATTTAATTCAAGTTTATAACTCTATTTCTTCCTAAAATGTTTATACGTCCTCATTATCTGCATTGGGAAAGGAGCTACAAAGATTGATCTATTATTTGTCATCTATTAAATGAATAGCCAACCATTTTTAAAAGTCTATTAAAATGTTGATATGTTGAACATATATTTGGCTTTTTAAATATTAATTCTGTCTGGTTTCTTTACTTCTCTCTCTGACAGCAAATAGAATATGTTTTATGTCAATTGAGGACGTCAATGTGGGATTTGGGAAACACTTATGGGCTTTTTTTTTTACATTTTCTGATGTTTTTAGACCAAACATCTCATGGATTAATTGGAAGAACTAGTCGACAGATTAATTGCAAGTGAATACAATCATTAGTTTCAGCCCTAAATGGGAGTGTTAGAATATCCAGTGTACATGGGTTATGCTGTCTTTGTATCATTTTGTCTAAAAGCAGAGATTTAGGGACCAAGAGTTGTGTTTCCTGTCCGGCACAAGTAACACAACAACCAAAATACGCCTGTTGAGACTACATTTTGTTGAAATGGAACAATTGAAATTTCACAGCATGTTTCTGCCATGTTGGCTATTGATGTGTCAACGCATTTTTATCTCCTTCTCAACTCCCGATTTGTTCTATCTTTCTTCCCTAATGTCCAATTGTGTGTTGAATTATTAAATCCACCTATGTTTCAATATTTATGTTCAGTTGTGTTCACAAGGGAATACAAACAATGATTAATTAATTTGCCATTGTGTCTTCTTTTTCAATGCCTGTCCCTAATTTAAGCTTTGGTGAAAATATGAAATGAAAATGTGTCACATTTATTAATCATCGTTTTTTTTCTATAGACGGTTAGCCTATTAAGATTCATACCTCAACTTCACCACCAGATGTCAATGTCCACCACAGAATCACCAACCATTTTGTCTAGAAACATACCGGTTGCGGTCTACATGGCGATTACAGTATGGGGCAGAAACCTCGTTTAAGTGTCGTGTGGAATATTTAGCTAATCCTGACCCACCTGTGCGTTTTACCTATTACATTCACAATACTTTTATTTTAGGAATATATCCAGGCAAATTCACAGGCTACTGCTTGACATGTCGAATTACAGTGGCCTAGATGTTGGATATGGTCGCAACTAAGGTACAAAATGCAATACAACTGGAATAAGATACCAGTGAGTAAACTAAAATAGATTATAATTTTTGTAATCTGTTATATCAACTACAAATTAAATGTTCATATACCACTGTCACCAGAGGTTACAAGTGTTCCTGCTGCGGTCACAATACGTAATTTAATATGTCAGCACTTCAGCCAATCAGCGTCCAGACCGGAGCTCACGCGTGAAATGCGGGACGGAACCTTCTCAAACCAAACAACGCAACGATGGCGGCGGCTGTAACTTCTAGTAGACCGTACCATATCATCATTTTCGGCGCAACAGGGTTCACTGGAAAGTTTGTAGTGGAAGAGGTGGCCCGTTGCGCTGCAGAGAGTCCTGACGGAAGCCGTCTGAAGTGGGCTGTGGCCGGGAGAAGCAGACAGCGACTGGGAGAAGTGTTGACACAAGCCGCGGAGAGGCTGTGTATGTTTGACAGGCTGTGCTGTAGCTAACTGGGACACTGGCGCAGTTAGCGTTTGGAGAGGCTTATTCATTATCTTTAAAGTGCAGGGGTTGTCATGTACAACATAACAATACGTTTTATTTGTCGTAACGGTATAGTTGGCGTAACGCTACACACGTTGATAGCAGAGGTTGGAATTCGCCAGCTATAAAGCTTAATAAACCGACTAAACTCAAGTTACCACGGGTTAACGTTTCAACCATTGGTCTATGAAACTGCTTTAAGATTCAAATCACAACAGCGTCGATAGAAGACGAATAACTTGTCCTAAATGATTTGCTTACCTCTTTCCATTCCTCATCGGAGACAATAAAGAGTTAAACCGTCCTTGTATTTCTTTTAAGCGACTGCCAACATACTGTAACTATGTTTGCTGTCAGGCTCTTAACGATTACATGTCAGGCTGTTTCTCTGCCGCAGGACACTTTACTCACTTCACTGACAGAGGCAGCAGTCTCAGTTGTTGTCGTTATGTATACAAATGAACAACTTTTAACTTGACCCCTAAATATAAGTTATTGTTAAGCACTAAAACAGCTAGCTTGAGACATAGGTTGTTATCAGGTTATTGAGCAGCAAGGCTCACAGGTCAAAGTAACTGAGACACGTCATGTGGTAATGTACAGCAATAAGAATTTAGAAATAGTTGTATTTATTTAATATGATACATGATATTGTCATGTTTTGCTTGTATTAACCCTGTGTTAAACATGCACGTTTTATTCTGACATGAACAAATACAGTACCACAAATCAGATTAAGATTATGTGCAACATTTTTTCTCTGTACAATTTACTGAAAGATGATCTCTTCTTTCTTCCGTCAGCTATGCCTGAGCTGAGGACAGACATTGAAATCATTGTCGCAGATGTGTCCATCGAGGAGTCTCTGGCCATCATGTGCCAACAAGGCCTGGTGATTCTCAACTGTGTGGGACCCGTGAGTAGACCCATATGGGGGTTTCAAAGTATGTTTAGAGAGCAGGGAGGGTTATGGCAGATATATAATACTGATCATTTTTTGGTTTGCATCTGATCAAATACTGCAATTTTAATAAAAATAACAGTCTAAGCCAAATTGTTTACCTTAAATGACTGTAATTGTCTGCCTTGTGTGTTTGCTGCACTTTCTACAGTGCACTTATTTTAAATTAAAACAGCATTTATTTGCACAGAGGATTAGTGCTCCTGCAAATCAGAGGTTTATGGGTTTAACCCTTGCAGTTATTTAACCCCTAATTGCCCCCTGTATACAGTATTGAAGTGTATGTAACTCACTTTGGATAAAAGTGTCAGCCAAAAACCATGTTAAGTGAAATAATTGAATCTCCTTATTTTTGATAAAGAGCTAAAGCCTGTAAGCCTACATAAATAAAAAACAAATGCAGAATGTTCCCTGCTGTCGGCTCAGTGAAATTCTTAAAAAATACATAATCAGCGTTGTTATTTCAGGCATTCGTCGCTGCAGATTATTTAAAAATGGCATTAACCTGCTCGTATGTTATCCAGACTCTGTGAGGGGTTGAAACAAATACAACTTTGAAATTGACATTTGACACAAATTCGATTCAAACCCACGAAACTAAAAGGTGATGTTGAACATTTCTCTTCATTCTCTGTGTTTTCAGTACAGATTCTTTGGCGAACCAGTGGTCAAAGCTTGCGTAGAGAATGGAGCTCACTACCTAGACATATGTGGAGAGCCTCAGGTAGGAAAATAATTGTCTTTTTCTACAGTATGTCTTCTACCTATTTAATCACTGTGATGTCTTTTATGTTTTTTAGCGTGGTAATCACTGATCCTAAAGTCGACTTGACTAAAGCAAGTTTAGTTTGCACATAATAATAAACATTTTGTTGGTGTATATGTGAACGTGTGGGTGTCCATCCTCTACAGTTCCTAGAGCGTATGCAGCTGGAGTACCACACTAAGGCGTTGGACAAGGGAGTGTATGTGATCGGCAGCTGTGGCTTCGACTCCATACCTGCAGACCTGGGTATTCTCTACACACAGAGGCAGTTCAAAGGTAGGCAACACAAGATAAATAGTTTACTCGGTTAAGGAGATAACACGTCTTTTTGAGCCTTTAACATATCAAGGTGTATAGTGCTTAACACACACAAATGTATAAATCTTGGATTTTCAGTTTGCTTACATTCTAACAATTTCCAAATATGGTAAAATAAATGTACCTTTGACATGTTAATGAATAAAACGTGAATTTCAACAATGTGATTTTTTTTCTTCTGATTTCAGGAACACTGACAGCTGTGGAGGGCTTCCTGAACATTACCAGTGGGCCTGCGGTAAACAACTACAGCTCCTGCACTGCATGATGGGAAATGTAGTCTAATACTCTTTTGTCAACCTTTTTAAGAAGTAATCTACAGTTGTTATACTTGTAGCTATCACTTTAAACAAAATAAAGATGTGGCTTCAACGGTGGTATATATAAAAAATAGCACACAAGTAAGTACTTGTTATACAAAACATTGCATTTGACTTTACCTGTACTGAGTGAACAATGGAAGAGGACTACATTTTTAAAAAGCACTCTCAACAAACACTAGTATTGACTAATACATTAATATCCCTTTGACACAGGAAGATCATTTAACAGAGGCTCTTGGGAAATTGAAAGGACAATAACAACAAAACAAAAAAATAGAATAAATGTAGAGCAGAAGTCCAACCTGTTATTGTACCGCCATACTGGCTGTTTTTGTGCAACTACTGCAGATTCAGTGTTTAACTAAAGTAATTCCCCGTAAGCTCAGGACACATTGTGAGTTTATTAAGGTGTATTTGAGGGGAATAGCCCTGTTATTTCTGCCCTGTGAGAGACTTTATAGTTCCCTTTTGACCTTTGCAGGGCTCATCTGGTCACGATGCCACTTGGCAGTCTGCTGTGCACGGTTTCGCAGACAGCGGATCCCTCCGCCAGCTGAGGAAGAAGTTTGGCCAAAAGCCACTGCCTGTAGTGGGAGCCAAAGTCAAAAAGAGGTAAAGCTATAACTGAGCAATTGGCTAAAACACTATGCTTTAAATGTTTTCTATTGGAATGTAGGGCTTGGCAGCAAGTAGTCAAGGAAGCTGTAAGTCGTGTGTCTTTAGTGCACAGCAGAGGGACTATCCCACTGAAAAGTATTTCAGAGGCCCTATTATGCAGTATAGGTTTTTGTCCATATAAATGGTCTGCAAAGGATAAAATCCCTGTGTTCCCTCCAGAGGAGTTTCAACTTTGCCTTCTCTTTTTGTAATTGGGTTTGTCTGTTTGTTTGTGTCTAGGGGTTCTGTGTTTTTCAGCAAGGAGATGGAGCAGTATGCCATCCCATTTATGGGTTCTGACCCCTCAGTAGTCAGGAGAACCCAGCGCCACCTCTACGAGGAGGATCACCAGTCTCCGGTAAGATTCTATCGACATGAGAATTGACACTGTGTCTCACATCATTAGGCGCTTTCACACCAAGTACTTTTCCCAGGAATAGTTCCCGGAACTATCTAGTAGATCGCGTTCACACCGGAATAAGTCCCTGAGGGAGGATTACGCAAATGAAGCCGCTGACGTCACTTCTTCTTCTTCTGCTTTGGGTTTACTGGCAGGCCGCAAACAACTTCACGGCATATACTGCCACCCAAAGTCCCCGGAGTTGGGGACTGGCTTCAGTAGAAGCTGCTGGGAGTCTTCCCAGCAGCTTCTACTGAAGCCTTCCGAGTAAATTGCCAGAAGCGCCGACACCTCCTCATCACTCCATCGCTCCCATGTTTTCTTTTGTGTTGCCATAAGTTAGTCTCTCTCCGTTGGTGCGCTGGGCTAATGCTAATAATGCTAATGCGAGCAAATAAAATGGCCGCTTCACAAAACTTTTTTACGGGGCGTGGTTTGCAATTCGCCCAGCCAATCAGAAATTGGAACCTTTTCCTCCCCAGGAAAGTACCACCTCTCATCAATTATTCCAGTGGTCCGGAGTCTTTGACTATGTCGTGGCCCATTCTTTGTAGTATCTTTAATACTGTGCCACATTAACAGGGCTCCACTTCTTGACTCACACGTTAAAATCGTCCTAAAGAAAGCTCTGCAGGCGCTGATTTCTTTGCCTTCGTTTGGCTGATAAACATTCCCCGTTCTATGCTAAAGACAAAAAAGCCACAGGCTCAGTCCCACCCCTTCCTTGTATCCCAGCTAGGGTTGCAAAGGGGCGGAACATTTCCGGTAAATTTCCATGGGAAGTTAAGCTAGGGAATTTTGGAAATATTCCATATTTGAAATAAATAAATACATTTAAGTTTTCCGCACTCTCGCGGGAATATCTCCGCGAGCGAGCTTAAGTTTAAAGGGGACCTATCATGCAAAATGCACTTTTGTACGTCTTTTATACATGAATATGTGTCCCCGGTGTTCCAGGGAACTCACCAAGTGTCAGAAAACACAACCCTCTCTATTTTCCTCCATACCCAAATCTCTAAATAAGGGGCTGCAACGGATCTGATAAAAACTGATCCAGATTTGAACACTGTCCTGACGTCAGGACAGTGGCGCTACGGCTATTGGGCCAACTCCACCAATCAGGAGGAGACAGCCACGGCCATTGCCGTTCGAAAGCGCTGGAGACGCTGTAGTACATATGCCAGGCCTGTAAGTGGCGCTGTAGTCTGCTACAAAAGCAGCGAAGAAGACTTCCCGCCCATGGTTACCATAGTTACCCTTCTGTTTATTCTCCGCTGTGGCTTTTTTTCTCCTTCCCAGAGGCAAGCGTTTGCTCCTCCTGCTGCTGTAATTCAATGCAATCCCTCCCCGTCGAGGCAAGCACTGTAATTCTCTCCGGTTAGTCCACCAGCAGATGACAAACACCCACCTCTCCGCCTCTTCCAAGGAACGAGGGGACCGTGCAGCAGAGTTTCAGTTAGGTTTTCTTTCGCCGGTCAAGATGTCCGTTAAAGTTTAAATCTTCCGGACAAAATTTAGAAAAGTGCCGGTCAAAGGTCTTCTTTGTTATTTATTGAGCTTTAAAACAAATGAATAACGACTCTATATAATAATAGGCTATAATAAAACACGGAGGACGGAGATCTATTTTTCTCCCCCTCTTCTGACTTGATCAGAGCACGCTCCCCTCTCCTGCAGGGGGGTGTGGTCAGCTGCAGCTCACAGTATCAGCCCCCTGCAAAAACAGGGATGGAGAACAGCACATAGAGTGAAATGAGGCATGGCTAAAATGCATGATCTGTTTGGTATTTTGAAAACAGAAACGTATAAATATACCTTATATAGGTATGGCCCTACAATATATCATTTAAATATAGCATGATAGGTCCACTTTAACTTTCGATTGCATGATATAGCCCAGCGCAACACCTTCGTCACACATGTTGCCACTTGTTTGTACCATTTTCAGGCGATTTGTAATGTGTTCTAGAAAAACGATGTGTTTTTGGATATTTGGGGATAAAATTGGTGGTCCTTGGTATGAAAAAGTTTGAGAAACACTGTACTAGATGAATACATTTGTATGTGATATTTGCAATTTAAACATTAGAGTGGACCTATCATGCTATATTTTAATAATATAGTGTAGGACCATACCTATATAAGGCATATTTATACTTATTTTTTTTCAAAATACCAAACAGATCATGCATTTTAGCCATGCCTCATTTCGCTCAATTTTCACTTTTTTAGCTCTGTTTTTGCAAGGGCTGATTCAGTGAGAACAGCACCATCTACTGGCCTGGCATATGTACTACATCGTCTCCAGCGCTTTCGAACGGCAATGGCCATGGCTGTCTCCTCCTGATTGGTGGAGTTGGCCCAATAGCCGTAGCGCCACTGTCCTGACGTCAGGACAGTGTTCAAATCTGGATCAGTTTTTATCAGATCCGTTGCAGCCCCTTTTTTAGAGATTTGGGTATGGAGGAAAATAGAGAGGGTTGTGTTTTCTGACACTTGGTGAGTTCCCTGGAACACCGGGGACACATATTCATGTATAAAATACGTACAAAAGTGCATTTTGCATGATAGGTCCCCTTTTAAATAAATATATTACCCCATAATATCATCAAAACTTACTTCACTTTGTGTAGTCCACAGGCTCAAACGTGTGGCTTCATTTGTCTTGTGCTTTGGGCTCAAAAGTGAGATCCAGTCTTCTAGAAATCATCTGTGCATGTGATGGAGGAATGCACAGTGCCTGTAGGGGGTGTGGTCTCAATAGCCTTGCAGTAAGCAGTGTGCTATGTGCATGTGATTGAGGAATGGCATGGATATTCAAGTGTACTTGAATGGCATCTGTTTGTTTTAGTCAAGATTATGCTAAAATATACTTTCCCCAACTATATTTAAGTTCCCTATGAAGAGCCAACCTTCAATTTAGAAAGTTCCCAGTTTATTCCCATAAATTCCCGTTAATTCCCATGGAAAGTTTCCATCTTTGAAAATGTGCGGAATTTTGCAACCCTAATCCCAGCTGATCATCTGATTGATCAAAATAAATCCAAACTATTCTCAGAATATTTATTTGACTTCAAATTCATAAATCGAAGGAATATATTAAGACCTTCATTAATTAGAACATTTTAATTTGTAATCAACACAAATAATTGCTCTAACATGCGCTGATTATATATAGTCAGGGGTTTTGCTGCAAAAGCCCTACTTAATGTGATGATAAGATTATGGGGGTTTAAAATAGCTAATGGGCAGAAACATTAGATAGTTATTGCTGTGTAACATGTTCTACTATGACACATTAGCTCCTGTTGATTTAGGATCTATATAAAGCAGATTTAAAAAAAGATGTTTCAAGTTGTGTCTGACAATGACAGGAATGTTATGTAAAACAATTATAATAATGTTCGTTATTTATATAGTACCTAAATAACGTTTACACATAAATAACGTTTACACAGAGTAAACGTTTACTAATCAAGAGTCTATTTTGTCCGAAGATAAAGTTCACGACGGGAAAAGAAAGGTTGATAAACCTATTGTTCATTTTCGCGGCACTCCCCACAAATGGCAAGTGCACTATAAGTTATATTTACACTTACCCATCCTCAAATGGATCCTTGCTGTCCCTGTATTCTTCTTCTTCAGAAGAGTCGAAGCCTTCAGGTTCTGAAGCGCCATCTTCTTCACTCTTGCTCGCGAAAATAATATCCAGCGCGTCCACAACGATAAAGTTCCTTCGAGCCATTTTCTCTGTCTATGTATCTATCTCTTCCTCACAGACTAAAAGACTAAAACTGATGGGAGACACCTGTTATATATATATTTGTATTGGTGGGTAGGTCCTTAGATTTCTCGAGTGTCCATTGGTCATTTCAGACCGACATGGCTGCCGGCCGGCCGAGATTTCCTTGACTTGACACATGAATCCACCAATCACACACAGTGTAACGCAGAGTCAAGCTGCTTTGAGCGGCTCTATTGGCTGCTGTGCCCTGGTTACAGTCTCACAGGAGGTACCGCTGGAAAGCTACACTTCCAGCGATTCCGCGGTTATCTGAATCATATTTCTACTCCTTATAATCAAAAATATATGATTTAAATACGTAAAATATGCGCACCTGCGCCGGTGCGTCAACTGACTCCAGAGGGTTAAACATTTCTTTCAATAATTTACCTGTTTTTATTACCCTCTCTTTCCCGTCCACAGGTCCAATACACTGCCTACGTGGGGATTGGTGGCCTCTTCTCAGTGATTAAGCTCTGCTGTGGCGGCCTTCTGTTCTGGTTCATGGTCAAATTCAGCCTGGGCAGGAAACTCCTCACCACGGTAGCTACATTTATTTATTTTTTATCAACAAACTACTTTTTTGTTCCCTGTAACTTTGTAATTTGCTGTCCAAAGCAGATAATATCAGTTCCTTAGTAGTGGAGTTAATGTAACTCTACTAATGGGTTATATAGGGTTTAGTACATGTAAATGGTCTTCAAAGGCTAAAATCCATGAGTTCACTCCAGAGTGAGTTCCTTTCCCACACACTCCCCCACCTGCCTGAAAGCCTCCATTGGACTCCTTTGTTTACTTCCTCAACATAGTGACATCACGCTGTAATACTCACGCTCCTATTGGCTAGCACTCCAACACACTTTACGTGATAGGCTAAGGGGCGGAAAATCTCTATAAGCGGTTGACCAATCACAACAGAGCCGACCAGCTAACCAATCAGAGCAGACTGGGCTCTGGTTTCAGACAGCGGGTGAAAAGAGGTACTGCAGCACAGGCAGTATGAGAAAAATAAAGAGCTTTTTGAACATTAAAGCATGGAGACATGTCACAGGAGAGACACTACATACAATCATTAAACCTGAAAATGAGCAGAATAGGCTCCTTTAAATGCAGCAGCAGACAAAAGGCAACAGCTCTGATACTACTTCATGCTTTCGAATGTAGAAATGTCTCAAATCAACATGGATTATACACTTGTATTCCTTGTCAGCACTGCGTAACAGTAAATGATCAATATGGAGTATGTGGAATGTAATGTATAAAGTATTAGTTCCTTACAAACTTTATTTTTTGTCTTTCCCTAAAGTTTCCATCGTTCTTCTCCTTTGGCTTGTTCACCAAGTCTGGTCCAACGATGAAGCAGGTAACACTCCTGATGAGTTAAATATATGTGTATCCTCTCTGTAGCCTGATGAGTTAACAGCTTCTTTGGACAGCTTGCAACATGGCTGTCGAACATTTAATAAAACAACAAGAAATAGAAATGAAGACCCTAGTCTGCGTGATGTAGTGTGAGTAATTTAGAGGCTGTGAAGACCTATTTTCTTTCTGTTACTTTAAGCAATGAGGTCCTTTTTGTTATTTGAAACGAGAGATTTTTTGCTTCTATATTAAAAAAACAGTATTACATTTTAACTTGTGACTTCTTATATCCTAGACATGGGAACAAGTAAAAAAACTAAATCAAATACTTCACCTCCTTACATTAGTTTTTATTTATTACCTTTTTGTATGTGATTAATAATCTCTTGGTTAAATCATTATGATCTGCACGATCATTAATACTTTCAAGGCATATAACTTAGCATTTCTTAGCTATTGAATATTCAAGTCGTGAATATTTCATGTTACAAAGAGACAAACTTGAATCAAACCACATTTTCAAGGTATTTGATTTTAGAGTTTGGGCAGATTAAATGAAATGACACAAAAACACTTGAATACAATGTAAGTATGTTTGATCGTGTTTGACCTTCATTGATGATCAGTTCCTCCCTCATTCTCCTCTCTCAGATAGAAGACACCTGTTTCAGTTTGACTTTTTTCGGGGAGGGGTACTCAGAGGGGACTGATCCCGCGCAGGGCCGACCCAACTCAAAGATCTGCACTCAGGTCATAGGAGCAGGTAAGAACTACACTCAGCTGATGTTTAGTACACCTCTATTACTGTTTAACATACAGCCACAGATATTATACCAGTCCCAGATATATATTTGTTTTAAAGAGTAATTATGATGATTTGCAGGTTCATATATATGAAACATGAAAACAAGCATAATACAGCTCCTTTAAAAGGTTGGGTAGGGGAGTGATCTATACTTGATTGTAAGTTTAGGTCAGGGGTGTCCAAACTACGGCCAGGAGGCCAACTGCGGCCCGTGGTCGACTTTTAATTGGCCGGAGCAAATTCTCAAAGTATAATGGAGTATGGCCCAAACAGGAAACTTGTGCTTGTTTTATATTGTACTTCTTAAATACGTAAAGATATATTACACACTATATTTATGTGTTAATAAGCCCAATTTTCAAATAAATTCAGTCAATTACAAACATTATTTGCAAAACAAGCTTGAACTATAACCTTTCCTGTTTCGTCTTAACCCCCAATCTGAGGCTTCTGTTTTAAGAAATGAGCTGCAAACCATTTTTGTTACAAAATAATGACACCCTGTTAATGGAAAGCTGTTGTGTACGCTGTTTGTTTTCTTTAGCCATATTCAATTATCAAGAATAATTGACCTACATTTGATTGATTTTGCTAACTTATAACTGAAACATTTTGGGACACCCCTGGCCTAGGTGATGAAGCAGGTTGGGAGACTCAATCCAGTCTCTGTGCATCTCAATGGAAACAAATCCTCTGTAAGGTCTAGCCAGAGCACACTGGCCCGTGATCCCTGATACTCCAAGTCGAAGGGAAAAAAAGAAAGACATACACAAATCTTTGTGTTAAACAGCAAAATCCGATTTGTATGAAATCAAAAAAATCTGATTTTACATTCATACAATTCAGTCTGATTTAAGGAATACTACAACCACAATATAAACGTTTATATGTTAAATCCTAACCAGGTGTAACCTTAAATCCTTCAAGCAATCTTTGTTTTTCTTGCATTCCTCCATGGTTAACAAAGAATAAAACGAATCTGAGAAAAGTCTTCGTGAATTGAAGTACGTTTTGCCAGCCTTAAACAGCAAAACTATAAACCCCAGATTTCAACTTAACGTGGACTGAGAAATTGTTTTAAATTGGTCATTCTGTTGGCGAAGTATTCTCTCACACCCTAATTAGATATCAGACTTTAATACACATACAATACTTGGCAGTGAATCATTGTTGGTTTTGGTCCTTTTATTTCATTCAATTCTTTTGAACTTTTTGACCCCCACCTGTTTGTTCTGTTTACAGAGCCTGGTTATGTCGCTACAGTTTCTGCTATTGTACAAGCAGCCCTAACCCTGCTGAATGAATTGCACTCTCTTCCCAGGAGGTCAGTCTGTTTTCTTTTTTCTCTACTTCCTTTGTTTTGTCCCATCTATCAAACAAGTTTAGATTTTGTGACACCCTTCTATTTTATCTACTGTAAATCTGCCTACATTCATACTTAATCCCACATTCTCTCTCACAGAGGAGGGGTGTACACTCCAGGAGCTGCCTTCCACAAAACCAGTCTGATCGAGCGTCTCCAAAATCACAGCATCAAGTTCTCAGTCAAAAGCTACGAGTAAAAAGCTCACGTCACTTCCCAGCTACAGGATATCATATTTTAACCGATGTCCACTGTGGATGTTGCCCCGCTTTCCAACGAGTCAACATAACCACTTTCAAGCGTGTGTGTGTCACTGAACCCTGCATCTACTGGTTATTGGTCGTCAGTGAGAGTTAATCCAAGGGGTCAAAGCTGGGAAAGGAGCAATCACAGCAGGAAGAGAATCATTGTCTTGTTCAAAGACACACTGCTATGCACTGGCCTCCTCTCACTAAAACCTCCAGATCTCTAAATCTCTTAAAACAGCAAACACGTGTTGACTATGCATTAATGAAAATAAGCTGTATTGATTTAATCAATAATAATCTTCATTTTCAACACTTATTAAACACTAATTTAAAACAGAGCAGAAACGATAGAAATATGATTAAATAGGAAATATTTATAGACGCCCTATTATGCTTTTTTGGGGTATTCCCTTTCCTGTTTAGTGTGTTGTTTAGGTTTGTGTGCATGTAAATGGTCTGCACAGTCCCAAAGTTCCCTCAATTGGACTCTTTCCGTATCCTAACGACATCACTATGTAACACTCTTGCTTCTATTGGCTACATTGAGCAACACATTTGATTTGATTTGCTTAGGGGTTGACCAATCACAACAGAGCCTGCCAGCTAACCAATCAGAGCAGACTGGGCTCTGGTTTCAGACAGAGGGTGAAAAGAGGTGCTGCAGCATTAAAGCATGGAGACATGTCACAGTACACAAACTGGATGTAGGATATAGATTTGTTCAGCCGATACCTATAATTATCTGGTTTTCATCGCTAAAACGATGAAGATAACATTAGTTTCACACTTTTGTATATTTAAGAGAAGTAGACCTGATTGTTTAAAAATACTTAAATGTAGTTAGCAAAAGTTAGATGATTTAATATTCATAGCTCTAAACTATTCAAATCCAACTGACATCACTTTGGTTAACACAACAATCAAATCAAATGTTCATTTTTGTTCAGAAGTACATCAAAACACTCCTGAAAAAAGTGTTGATATTGTTGAATACATGTTTGGCTCTATAGTAAGCGTGAAGTCAGTATGTTTGTTTTAAGTAAAATCAAGAATATTTAACTTAAGTCGGTACTGGAAGAGGATGCATGACCGTGCCTTCTAGCACCTTGTCATCATCTCACTGTATGATAGAGACAAGACGGTGGAATTTCAAACCTTGGAAGTGTTCTTGCAAGCTTATAGTTGTGTGTTAACTGTATTAAACACTAAGGATATACTGTTACAGGATGAGCCTGGCTATATTCTGATACTGTACCAACAATGCATGTATCTTCTAACAAGCATCATCTGTGTATTCAAAGCCTGATGTGTCTCATTCCTGTGTGACACAGCTGCATTGTTGCCCAATTAAAAACACATCAATGAGCCACGATGTTATACACACTTCTTTAACTCAATCCCACAGTCATTGTCCTGCTGCGAAAATACTTACCAGGGCACCAAATCCACAGCTGAAGGTGGTCCCCCGTAAACGCAAGATCATTTTTTTGATCACCAGCCAAATGGCTAGGAATTTTAACAGCACTTAAAAGAGGCCCTATTTTTTTTTTTTTTGTTTTCCCTTTCCTATAGTGTGTTTTTGTGCATGTAAATGGTCTGCAAAGGCTAAAATCCCAAAGTTCCCTACAGAGGGAGTTTCTCTCCGGCACTCTTTGGCTGGTAAATGGTGCTTACCTTGAGCCCTGGCCCCCACAAAATGCGCAGTTTGAGTAAAAACTCTATATATATGTCTGACTTAAAGGGGCCCTTTTGTGCTATTTGGGTTTTTCCCTTTCCTGTAGTGTGTTAACCAATATCACACACTTACTCTTGACACGTTCCCTTTTTCATTCAAAGTCCACCTGAACTTTAGCTCAACTTTGAGAGATCATTTCGTATGCTTTTCCAAATCTGATCTTGATCTTGAGCATATGTTTTGTATATATAATAATAGTTATTAAACATTGTGAACAGACAGACATTCAGCAGGTCATGAACAACCCACATGATATATACAGTGGAGGAAATAAGTATTTGATGCCCTGCAGATTTAGAAGTTTAGCCACTTACAAAGAAATGAACAGTCTATAATTGTAATTGTAGGTTTATATAAACAGTGAGAGTAAGAATATCAAAAAGGAAATCCAGAAATTGACATTATATAAAAGATACAAATTGATTAGAATTTGACTGTGGGAAATAAGTATTTGATCCGCTTGCAAAACATGTCTTAGTACTTGGTGGAGAAACACTTGTTGGACGCACAGAGGTCAGACACTTCTTGTATGGTCTCCAGGTTTGTGAACATCTCAGGAAGGATTTTGGTCCACTCCTCTCTGACGATCCTCTCCAAATCCTTCAGGTTTCGAGGCTGATGCTTGGCATTTAGAAGCTTTAGCTCCCTCCACAGATTTTCTATGGGATTAAGGTCCGGAGCCTGGCCACTAGCCACTCCTTTGTTGCCTTGGCCGTATGTTCAGGTTTATTGTCCTGCTGGAAGACCCATCCATGACCCATTTTCAGTGTCCTGGCTGGAAGAGGAGGGTTATAGGCCAATATTTTCACGGTACACGGCCCCGCACATCCTCTCCTCGATGCAGGGAAGTGGTCCTGTCCCCTTAGCAGAGAAACCCCCCCAAAGCATAATGTTTCCACCTCCGTGGGGATGGTGTTCTGGAGGTTATAGTCAGCATTTCTCTTCCTCCAAACACAGCAGGTCGAGATGATGCCAAAGATCAACATTTTGGTCTCATCTGACCACATCCTCTTCTCCCAAGCCTTCTCTGAATCATTCAGATGTTCATTGGCAAACTTCAGACGGGCCTTTCATGTTCTTCTTGATCAGGGGGACCATCAGGCGCTGCAGGGTTTGATCCATTATGGTCTAGTGTGTTACCAATAGTTTTCTTGGTGACTGTGGTCCCAGCTGCCTTGAGATCATTAACAAGTTCCCCCCCTTTAGTTCTTGGCTGATCCCTCACCTTTCTCATGATCATCAATACCCCACGGGGCCAGATCTTGTGTGGAGCCCCAGACCGAGGGTGATTGATGCTCATTTAGTCTTTCTTTCATTTCTGAATAATGGCACCAACAGTGGTCTCCTTCTCACCGAAACCGCTTTCTGGTGGTCTTGTAGCCAATCCCAACCATGTGAAGGTCTACAATCTTGTCCCTGAGGTCCTTAGACAGCTCTTTAGTCTCGCCCATGATGGAGAGGTTGGAATCTGATTGATTGATTCTGTGGACAGGTGTCTTTTATACAGGTAACAATTTGATATTAGTACTTTTTTAAAGGAAGGGGACTTATTTAACTGTGGGAGCCAGAATCCTTCAAATACTTGTTTCCCACAGTTAAATGCAAATACATTTTTATCTTTTATATAATGTTAATTTCTGGATTTTGTTTTTGCTATTCTTACTCTCACTGTTTATATAAACCTACCATTAAAATGATAGACTGTTAATGTATTTGTAAGTGGGCAAACTTACAAAATCTGTAAGGGATCAAATACTTATTTCTAATAATACATAATACATTGTATTTTTATAGACGCTTTACATTATGTTACTGTACACTTTTATCCTTACAATACTTTCACATCAGGTTTCATTCCATTCAATACTGTGGACAATACCCGCAGGAGCAATTTGGGGTGAAGTGTCTTGCCCAAGGACACAGAGGCATGCTCACTGCGAGGCTGTCAAGGTGGGATTGAACCGGTGCCCCCTGATCTGAAGATGAGCGCACTAACCCACTGAGCAGCAACTGCCCCAGAAAAGTAAAATCTATCTCATTCACAAATCAATCAAAGTATGAAATGTAATTATTTTTACATTTTAAATGGATTTAACTAGAAAAATATTGAGGTTTGCGAGACTCCTTGTGTATGTGAACAATCAACTACAGGTTTAAGATTCATAATATAACGCAATATAGGCCTAGTTCTGTTAGTATAAGATAATAAGATGTACTTTGTTGATCCAAAATCGGGAAATTGTGTTCTTATGAAATTTCCCAAAAATATATCTTTTTAATTTCTAACTTTGTTTTCTTTTTTTTCTCCCCAATTTTCGGTGCCCCCGATGGGTTGATGCGCCCTTAGCATTCACCTATACTGCCTATGCCAAGGGCCGGCCCTGCTTACCAAATCTGGGGCAATAACTACAAAAGTTCTATACATGCAGTATCTATTCTACAAAAAAAAGCCATACGAATCATTCACAATGCCAAATACCTTGATCACACAAATTATTCCTGCAGTCAAAATTGTTAACATTTACAGACCTGGTAGGATTCCAAACGGCACAAATCATGTTTAAGGCAAAAAATAACGTTTTACCAGGAAACATCCAAAAAGTATTCACTGAACGAGTGGGGGGATATAGTTCAAGGAGGCAATTTCAATTCGAAATTCATAGGGTCCGTACAACCAGAATAACATTTTGTTTCTCAGCCTGTGAAGTGAGACTATGGAACAGTGTGAATGTGGAGCTAAAGCCATGTCCAGACTCCAGACATTAACCAGTTCAAGAGGAAATACAGAGAAATTATTTTCTCGAGGTACAGGGATGGGGAAGGTGTTTGACTATGTGTATATGTGTATATGTGTGAGTATGTAGGTGTGTATATGTATATATGTGTATGTGTATCATGTATGTGTGTATGTGTGTATGTACATATGCGTATATGTATATATGTCAATCAAACAGGTAAAGCAGATTAATAACAATAATAATTCATAATAATGATAATTATAGATTATAAATAAATCATTTAGGGACAAGGGGGTGAGATTAAATAAATTATACTTCTTCTCACTCCTTTTCGAACACTAGATGTGGGACTGTTTATGTTGCTAATGCTGTTGTTGTTGTAAATGTCATTTTTTGTTTTGATTTCTCTTACATGACCATGCACTGCAACATTTCTTTTGTTTTGTAATTATTTATTTTACTTGTTCGAAATAAAATGTATTAATCTATGAATACTATATAATACACAATACAATTCAACAGCATATTCACACATGACTTACACTACATGTACACAGTTTGCAGCTACACGTATGTAGGACCACATACTGAAAATGACGCCTATTGCACAAACCCCATGGCCAACATTTAAACTATACATAACATTTGTTTGTTGAGGTGTTTAATGGACATTGGCAGGAATGAGTGTTTGTAAAGGTTTAGCCTACTTTGAGGGACCCTAATTCTCCTACCAGAAGGGAAGAGCTGGAGCTCTGGGTGGAGAAGGTGTGGGGCATCAGATGTAATTTTGTGTGACTGTTTAACTGCTTAATAAATATTTTGGGAGGATGGATGTTTTTTAACCCCCATAAGCGATCTTTGAGTTCAGCTATGAGGTTACCATACCAGGCTGTGATACCATACCATACCTGATAATGCTCTCTATCACTGCATGGTAGAATAAAAGCTTCAGGTTTACTCTATAGGCCCTAAGTCTGTGCAAAAAACATAGCCGCTGTTGTAGTATGAAACAGAGAGCACTATATACTGTACAGTGCATGCAGCTGAATACAAAGTGTAAGAGCCATTTTAATGATGGTCATATTTTGGTTGAAGTTTCACCATTGTGTGTTATTCACTGTGTGTGCCATCGGGTGTCGCTGTCCGATTCCCTATGGCACAGGTATTTAAGCTGTGTGTTGTCACAGGATGGGGTTTTTCTGACCCCGGTAGGGCAAAATGTTTTTTGACCGCAGTACCACTAGTATGAACACTGGAAAGGATTGTTTGTTATTGAATGAATGGAAATGGACTTTATTATGCAAAACAACAATACAATAAATGGATTGTATTATTCCGCACCCGAACAAAAGCCTACCGATTCATCATTACAACAACAACAACACAAACTGTATCGTATCAACAAAGTTGGCGTCAGCCAAGTCATCCCCGGGAGTTAAAATGGGGGGTTACGTATTGTAACCCTAGTTATATAAGCACAGGCGGAGCCCTCTACTGGACTCTATGGGTACTACTCTCAACCATGCTGTGCGAGCATTCACATACTGAGTTGCATAAACGTAGCCGGCCAATCGGGGCGAGCCTACCTGAATGCGCGCAGGCCCACAGTATATAAGGCGGCTACGCCTCCTGACTGTCATCCTACACCCTCTTCAGCGAGCGGCATAGGAAAGACAGGGCCCCTAGGTAGAGGGCTCCGCCTGTGCTTATAGAACTAGGGTTACAATACGTAACTCCCCGTTATATATCACACAGGCTCCGCCCTCTACTGGACTCTATGGGTACAGTGGGTGGAGCCCTGATGGATAAACGCCCTGTCGTCCAACAACATCGACCCATCACACTGCCCCTGACCGGCCTTTGGTTAACAGCCACCGCACCCCAACTTCCTCTC